TTGACAGTGGAGAATACTGGTGTGAACTGGGAGGAGGAAAGAAAACCAACACTGTCAACATCACTGTCACTGGTATGTACATAGTGAAATGCCTATTTGAAAAAAAACACTGTGAGACGAGCCTCTTCGGAGAGTTGCAGGAGGGTTTCAGAGAATATTAATATTACCATTGTCCATTGCACATTTATAGATCTGCTCAGAAATCATGTCAAACTCACCTCAGGTATCATCAGGTTTTTTTGATTTATAAAACACATGTTCTTCAGCTGGTTCTGTGATCCTGGAGAGTCCTGTCCTTCCTGTGATGGAGGGAAAAGCTGTGACTCTGAGCTGCAGAAACAAGACGACTTCCTCCAACCTCACAGCTGATTTCTATAAAGATGGCCACTTCATGGAGAGCAGCTCTACAGGAGACGTTACCATCCCCAGTGTTTCAAAGTCTGATGAAGGACTCTACAAGTGCAGAATCTCTGATGTTGGAGAATCACCAGAGAGCTGGTTGGCTGTCAGAGGTGAAACATACCCATGTTATCAAAGATTAATTGTTTCTTGCTCAAATTCACAATTCTTTCCCACAACGGTTTGCATCATACTAATGTGAAGGTCCATATGTTAAAGCCTGATAGAAGTATTACAAATTATGCTTTTTAAAACCTGACAACTGTGACCTGAGTCTCTGATGTGGTTTTCGGGTTAAGGCTGATAAATTAGAGGTGATGCTGAGGTCTGAGGACCTCTGTTTACATTTTCAGAGAAATGTTGAATGCCAATTCCAAGTGCATATATTTTGCAGTATTATGATCATGTCTCATACACAGCACAAAATTATCTCTCCAGAAGCTCATGAGGAGCCTATCTCTTCTCCTGCCCCTGACCCTTACCCTCATCTTCATCATGGCCCTCAGCTCTACCTGCTGCTCTGCACTGACCTCGCTGTTAAAGTATTTTTGATTCTGATTCTGATTTCTTGGTGGCTCTACTGGCGTTGGTCGGACTAGTGTGAGTGGGAAACATCCAACAACCATCACAGGTACAGAGAATACAGATGCAGGGAATGTCAGATGGAGTCATGAATGCCTTGTGAATCGTAGCACTGAGATGAAAACAGTGAAAACTAATGACAGAATGTCATATGTGTGTGTTCCATGGACACACATTTATCTATGCACATGTGTCAAACAGTTTGCATGAAATTATAAAAAGTCATGGCTTTCAAGCTGTTGAACCTATGTCAAGTGTGTTAAAGAGAATCCAAGTTTTAAGATCCACAAACACAACAAGGAGGTGGAAATAAACAAATTACATTAAGATAATGCACATCTATTCACTGATATAATATTTGTAGGAATAGATTTTTAGAATTTCTTTGAATTAGTTACATTTCTCTGGAAACAAATGAATCTTTTTCCAGTTTTTATTTTTTGTAAATTAATGTCTGCCTACATACCTGCTGTATTCTTCTCATGTTTCAGTGGCAATATATGCTGTTGTTACAAAACCCAGGATGGAGAAAGGTAATTAACTTAACACTGAGAAACACAGACTGCATGTCACATGTTTAATCAAAAGAGTTAGTAAATGGGAAATATATTAGTCAGTATTAAAGTCTCCTGTCTGTAAGGATACAGTTTAGAGCATTGCTTGTGTACAGACATTGCTTTGGTCTCTCAACCAGAAAATGGCGATGAGCACTGAATTGCTAATCAGACGTGTACAATATTTTTAAACATTCATTATTTTTTTTAATTGCAATAGTCTGTGCTCGTTATGTAGGAGTTATATGTCCCCTGTAACAGTTAAAGCAGCTCAGACAAAAACCACCCGAGGAACCCACAGTCAGAAAAAGGCAGATGGGCCCCTCAGTTCACTGAGCAGCAGCTCTTGTGGTGGCTGCTGTTCCAGTCATGTGGGACGCTGTTTGTAAGTCTAGTAGCCACCATGAAACTACCACACCACAATACAGTTAGATTCATTTTTCTCACGGCACCAAGTGAGTGCATGCTCTGTATTTTATAAATGAACAATGAGATCAGATTAGGAATCAGAAAACTCACATATTATAGAAAAGTTGGACCCTTATTATTTCTTTTCTAACAGATACATGGTATGTCGGTTCTTGTGTGTTTTGCAGGTTGCTGAGAGAAAAGACACCTGACCGAAAAAGGGAGAACGCATACTTTTTCTCTAAACCCAACTGCCTGCATGTATATGAATGCAGTTAGGGAGTTATATTCATGACAAAAGACAATGACTTCTCTGTTCATAAGAAAGATATTGAGCAACAGTTTATGCTCATTTGTAAAGATAGTAAATGTGTTGATTACTATTTAATTAAATGTATGACTTGTATGAAGTGGAAATGACCTAAACAGACATGATCATCATCATCCTTATTATCATCTGAGAGTGACAGCTTCAGCTAGTTCACAGCATCATTATCGACGCTGTGAATAACCAAGCTACTGCTGCCTTTAAATACACTCGCTGTGGTCTCTGTGGTCACACACTGTGACAAATGCTGATGTAATACTGACCTGGAAGTTGTTTTAAACAGTAATGTTATAAACCATCAACATCAGGTCAATAAAGACAATCCCACAAATATATAGTGTTTAGCAGCTGATGAGGTTAAGCGAAGTAAGAGGGATCAAATGCAGTTGCAGGATATTGTGTAGAGTGTATAAATAATACAAGCTGACAATAAACTTTTAATAAAACTGTTTTAATAAACTTTCTGTTACTACAATAAGACACTGGAGTTCTTGTTGTAAAGTAACTGTTGAAATAACTGAAAAACATAAATACATATCATCTAAGTAATACACAACTCAAGCCTCAATACTAATTATCATCACAATACAGCAAAAAAAGTACTTCCTTAATATACTGATATATAATATACTTACCATACACACACACACACACACACATATATATAGTGCAGCTTATAAAGCATTTCACAAATCAAAGAAACATTACAGGGTGAAAGAAGTAGCCTTTCCTTGATGCTATCAGTGTTTCCTTCAGCCAGAATTACCAGTAATAGCATTATGTTTGCTGATCTCAATGGTTAAAAGCCTTTTCTCTTATAACATTTATGAAAACTGTTTAACAATGTGAGTGTACAGGTTAAGCAGCCAAACAGGTTCACGTTCGAACACCCTGATCTGTTTAAACGTTAAACGTTATTGCTCGAACAGGACCTTCT